TGAGCGTTAGTTATTTTTCATCACTACCTTGTAAGCATAGCATTGATCTCGCACACTGATGTCAGGTTATATAATTATTTTCTGTAAAAATAACTGGGCTTTTTGGATTGAATAGAGTATATGCCTCTGGGTATAATGAATATGTAAAGTTGCGCTTGAAGTTTACTGTGAACTTTAATGGCTCAGTTTATACTTTAGCTTTCATAGTTCACATTCTCACAATTCTGCGTTAAAGTCATAATTCGAAATACAGTAGCTGATAAGTCAATTCCTACTTGTTTTATAAAACATCACCAGCCTTTCAATTCCAAAATCGTTTTGTAACTCGAAGAGATTTTTGCTACACGGGCGTCAATTTTTTGTGAGATAATTTCTTATTTCAACTTAATCACAGTTGATACAATGTGGTTTTATTAAATCACCAGTATTTGTGCCGTTCTCTAGGTACATAACACAAATAATCTAGTTCTACTGTTAGCTTCACCAGAATAACATATTCGAAGTCTTTCAGAATCAAAAGACCATTTTGGTCGCTCGGAATATTTATATATAAATATACGCAAATTAGAGATGGTCCTACAATAATTAATCATTAGCTTAAGTTAGAATTCTCATTCGGTATGATAGGCTCCACTTAATTACTCAACTCAGCACAAAAACTTGCAGAAATAACCGGTTCAGTATGTCCGGACGGACAAAAGATGTATCAATAACAAGAAAACACTTGGTTTATTACTGATCAATAAAATATAAGAAAAGAGATTGTACGATTAATAAAGTTTAGTTACTCATGAGTAGTACACTTATATTATACTAATTGCACTCTTGGCATTCCACTATTTACAGTGTTTGCAAATAGAATCTCTTTTAATTGGACAAGTTATGTTGCTTAGCGATAATCCAACCTCTGTTTTAAAAATTCATTTCTATATGTCTGGACTAATACTTCCAAAATAACGATGAACATAGAAATGGTTTTATGGGACTAAATAACAAAAATTATAGTAATGAGGTAGACTTATTGTATACAGCAACTAATGGCGGAAGTTGAACAACATTTGCATCGATTCACGCGTAATAAAAGTGGTCTGCCAAAAAATCTAGTTTAAATGATGAGTGGTTAAGTTAATCGCCATTAAAACCAAAATGAATGTGCTTAATTAGTGCCATTAGTTAAGCTAAATGGTAGATAAAAACTAACTGCCTAGATAGATAGTGATATACTATGTGATTTTTGTATCAGAGTTCCGGTTCGAAATGGTATTTCATAAAGTCAATCGGAACAGAAATGAGTTGGGTTATGTTATGTGCCTGTATGAAGAAAGTCGAATAATAAAGGTCATTGGATCTACCCAGTAGCTGTATGGTGTTTTTTCGTTTCACAACATTGATTTCATCGGATATAGAACCGCTAGGAAGTATTCTTGTAGTGTTCCAAACCAGGACAAAACGACTTCCTAGTTATTTTTAGTTCGTGACAATACATCATGTAAATGATCTTTAAGGAAAAAAATCTTCATAAACATGTTTTTTAAGTATAGAGTTATTATTTCAAAAACAGCTAGGTTTTCTGAAATAATTGTTTTGTGGAATACGTCCATTGGTTAACTTGAGTGACTAGGACCGAAACCGATTTTCATTATCATCCTACTCAAAGTGGAAGAGACAGAAAGATTTGGTTCATGTTTGAGTGGAGTTCAATAGATCATTTACTTGTACTGATTTTGATAATTTTGAGACATTGTAGTCCTGTTTTCCTCTCAGTTATGATAATATACACTAGACTTTTCGTAAACGTCTTATAGTCGTGTAACCAATTTTGGGAAAAAAAACATATGGGTATTGTATTGCGCAATTAAAATGAACCTTCACTCTGGAGTACTAGGTGTAGTTTTAAACTCTGTTCTGCTTACTTTAATTTGGGTTACCTGCTATTATCACTAGTTCTGGCGTGATATACATCAGATCTGTGCACATGGACTTGTTCATGGTTATTATATGAGACCAGTTTTTGAGATTTAAACGTTTGTGGACGTAATTACAACCCAATATCTACCTTGAAAGAAGTTTACGACTCATTCAACATACCAGAAACAGGTAATCCTGTCATAATATATCTGTACCTTTGAAAGAGAAAGGAACCCGTGTGATAAGTCTAAGTTAGTCATAGTCAATATCAGACCTGGCATGAATTTACATCATTTCGTGTTTCGAATTAGTGCAGCAAGAGATTAACCAGATGGAAAGCATGGGAAGAATTAATATTAAATCCAATAGGGAGCTAAGTATGATTGGAAAATAAATTAGGTTGTTGACTGTAAAGTATGGAATAGCGCTAAATTCACGGTTTAGGAAAATAAACGTTACTGCAACTAGTTACGATGTTTACCGACCAATGGTTAACGAATGTAAGGATTAGTGAGTTTTCCGCTTCTGTTTATTGATTGCCAGTTTTATCAGTCGGTAGATTCTTGTTGACACTACTTGTCATCACTATCAAGTCAGTGATAAGGATAAATTTCCCCCAAAATAGTAGTTCTATATCATGCTTACTACCATGTAAATGGTTGAATCATTACTTACTATCTTATGTACTGCAGTTTACATGTATTTAGTTTCGTTCTACAAACTTAATATCAATTATTTGTACCAAAAACTGGCCTGACAGCATTTTATGATGACCCCTTCCTACTGGAGGATTCAAGAATACAATGAAATAATGTCTCCAATATATAAACTAAGTAAATCAAGAGAGATTACCATAAGAGTGATTTTTGACGTAATTCATATGTATATATATCTCAATGCGTAAATTAAAATTGTGTGATATTTCGCGAGAATGTTCTAGTATATGTCTCTTCATAATCGTCTACAACTAGTTTAATGTATGATGCTCCCTCCCAGTACTTATTCATGTGATGTCGTGTTCGTGAAACGAACTGTTCGACTTTCAATTCATTCGATTTCTGTTCCTTGTTTTAGAGCATTACTGAATCTCCATAAGACTGGGTGTTCAGCGTTAACGAGATGGTTAAAGCCTGTGTCACCCTTTTATCCCACTGTTTGTTTCTGGAGGATCTTCCCGAATAGAACTGTTGACTTCCCATAGTGCAGTTCGGAAATTGAAACACAGCCTTCGCGTTTTAGTGGTCACTCGATCCAGGTACTTTGAAAATAAGTTATTAATACCTTGATTTCTTCACTATCTACGTAGAATTGCGACTCAGTTTGATTGTTAAGTGCAGATACGGCATTTGCAACTGGTAATTAAGCTAGTGCTACCACTCGATGGGTCTACAAAACAAAATATTCATTTCTTATACAGTGTTGTCGAAGGTTTTCTGGTTGCTATAGTCTTCAACCGATACACTAGCTCAAATAGGACAAGCAACTTTGTTGTACTATGTTCGAAGGTATTTCTCGGCTGGTGATGATGACGCAGATTATTCGTAATCATTCCCGACTACTGATGGATTTAAAGTCAGGGACCATCCGTTCAATTTGTTAAAGATGCACATATACGGATTCCCATGTTTTTTTCTATAATTAGAAATATAGGCTGAGGGTTAAATCGTACTGAATTTCATACCATGAATTATGTGGACCTAATTAAACAAAGGCGGCAAGGTCTCGAGTGTTCCGTTGGCATACTGACGAGGACACTACACCAAACATCCTGGATTTCGAGTTGTGGTAAAGATTAGTATTTCTTCCCACCCAGTCCGCCGTGGTGTAAGAAGAACTTCTGCCCTCTCACGGTCGTCTTGTATTCAAATTGAAGATGTGGATCCAATGAACTTGGATGTTATAAGGGCTCCCGATGATTATATCGTACTCCAAACTGCCTGCTTCATTCGAGTTGCTTCTGGAGGCTGAGCTAATATTACATATGACAAACTTTCATATATCGTAGATACGATTCGATGTGTTATTTCTACTAATGAAGCCTTCGGATCCTATATTTTATTAATTACTTTTATAGGATCTACCGAATGTTCTACCTAGGACATGATTATGTCCCACTATTTGTTTTGTAATAACTTCATAATTTATATGACAAAGCACTATATACTTTGTTGTACGATGTAACGCATCTAACATCTTTTTGTCATTAATCAGTTCTTTCCTGAAATTGTGGCTATTCACTAACAAAACTCAGTACCCTTTTTACCTTTATTTCATTATATCTCCATTCCGATGAGCTGTAAAAAAATATGATCCGGAACCTGATTCGTTACCTTTATATATAACTTTAACCAAATAAATTATTTTTAGACAAATAAATACAAAATTATTTCATATATAATCACGCTTCTATTACAACTAATTAATCTTGATTTGGTTTAATATCTTTGTATTTTCTATCTCTTGGATCTATACTCCGTATCCGATAACTCATTTCAGAACGAACCGCTAGTTATTTTTCCTTTCCATGGTTTTATTGATATTCACCGCTTTGATGTCCGCTCTTGATTTATTATATTCAGTCAGTTAATGTATTAGTAACGTTACTTTATTACTATCGTTATTTGGAAACTTGCAAGAATCCCGTGACGGTTAAGGAACCCAATATGTTTCTGTAATATTCTGTCAGACGCTGTAGCGAATACCAGAATAAATATTTTATCATTGTTACTATTACTGTTATCATGATTATTATAAAACTGACCTTTCTGCCCTCGCCCTTATTGGAGTAAACCACTGTGTAGTATATGCCAAAGATTTATGATTGAAACAGTTCTTTTTGAAACCAGTAATTATAAATGTAGTTTTAAGTGACCATATAAAATCCCTGAGAGAAAATTTTCTGTTCCGTAAAGGCGTTACTTGAATCATGGTGAGTAAATAAACTCAATTTTTCAGTAGTAACATGAAGATAGTTTGCTGGCATTTCGGTGTAAAGTACTGACCGATGTAGTCGTGAGACATTAGACAGTTCTGATAGCGCTGTATTGTGTATCGACCGAATTCGTGATCGTGAAACATTAGATCGAAACTGGTTTAAAAGCAGCCTGCCCTCGATGAAACCAGACCGTAATAAAACTAGTGACAAGTAAAGCTTAACTTATGTATATTCCCTTTTGTAGTAAGTTGAAATAATATGAACCAAATATCTAACTATTTCACTTTTAGTGACCTAGGTATACAGTTTATTAGGAGAGTTTTAAATGAAAACAAACGCTTCTGCTAAATCCATGTGATTACTCCTATCAAGTCTGCAATACACATTCTGGATTAAATTAATAATATTCAAACTTACTGAACTTTGTGCTTGAAATAGACCTAGAGTGTCCATTGTTAACTCTGTTCCCCCAGCTCTTTCTACATACTTCGAATTTTCCGTGCAAAAGCATACCGTGATGAACGATAAATTTAAGCTGATTATATATATAACTCCATTTTATTTGTATAATGCCACTCATTTTTATAAGAGTAGACTAATGGCCATTGCGCAACATCAATTTATTATTAATTGCCAAATTATTATTTCAATAAAAGCATTGTACATAATCTTAGAAAATAAATTTTAAATATATTACCATGCAAATGAAAATTTGTTCTGTGAAAATGCTGGTTAAAACAAGAAAAACTGCACATATTAAGCTTAAGATAAATTTAGTTAATCAAGTATAACAATCTACCCATCAAACATCTATCTCTATTACTGAAATTCCTTCATAAATATTAGAGTTCGTTACTAGTAATGACAGAAAAGTTATCATCATTACTATGAAACGTTTTTTCATCGTATAACGCTGATGATAATACTTTTAAACTCTCCCAATTATCCTCTTTTAATCCTAATAACTCGATTAAACGAACCTCTTGTACATGTGGATGACTTTTTCGATAAGCTTGAAATAATTGATTTTGTAGTCGAATAAGAATCAACTTTTCCAATGGTTCATCATGAATAAAATCACATCTTTTCCCATAATTACATGTTCCAAAAACATGATAACTATAACATATTTCAGTTTTATAACGTGGATGACGTGGAGCAAATCTAAGTTCATTAATACCATGAGCAAATTGACATTTATTACCATAACTACAATCCCCATTAGAACTATTTAAATAGCGTTTACATAATTCTGTTTTATAATGTCGACTTTTTGATGGTATTATACAATTTTCACTATCATATTTTTGTAAATAATTTTGATCTAAATAATTCAATTTAATAGATGAATAATAATGATCATTTACAATGGAATAATAAATTTCCGAATTTTCTAAATGATTTTCAATATTTTGATCATTTATATTAATCATTTTATTTTTATCAATCGAATTATTGGATTGTTCTAATATTGATTGTTTTAAAATTGAATTTTTTAAATTCTGATCATTTAAATAAAGATTTTTATAAGTTTCATTTTGTACAGCTTTTGTATGTTTTTCTAATTCTTTTTGTAAATCATCTAATTGTTTTTGATTTGGTGTATAATAATTCATGAATTGTTTGATATGATTTGTAGTTTTTGGAATATTTTCAATAGTTTGTTTTAATTGTTTAACAAGTGATGAACCTTTATTGATATTCGATTTATCATTAATATTCGATTTATCATTTATATTCGGTTGATCATTCATATTTTCATTATATATTGAAAAATCATTTATTGTATTATTTCTTTCCATATTTCAATAATATCAACTTACTAATTAATCTCTTGTAAATAAAAATGAATAGAAAAGGTTTCATATTGAATAATTCATCATTAATGATTACTAATCAGTCAAATCGATCAATTTATGATCATCAAAAGTAACAGTGATTATTACTCAATTCAATAGAAATTCAATTCATATAATTTAAATATATACACGTGTCAAACAGTCAATATAGTGAAATCATACATACATACATACATGCACATACACACAAACACATGAAAAAACAGGTTATTGTTAATGATTTATTTTTTTTAAAAATCAATAAACTGAGGAGTAGATAACACAAGTAGCTAATAATAATAATGATTTTTTTAATGTCTTACTATTACTCATCATCTATTAAATAATAGAATATTAAAATCAATAATTTTGATGTGTCATGTTGTTTTATTTAAGATATTGACAATAATTATTCATAGAGTTTGGATTATTGTTATTTATTTATTTTCAGAAGGGGTTTGTGGAGATTTTAGAAATTTTCATAGATTGAAATCATGAGTCAATTGAAGCTAGATCACCATGGAAAACCTGGAAGCACTAGACGGCCGTTTCGTCCTAGTATGGAACTCCTCAGCAGTGCGCATCCACGATATATATTATGTTCGTAAATAGAAGTAAATATGAAAAGGATGAATAACAACTGGGAAAGGATTGTCCAGGACAGAGTTGGATAGAGAGTGCTTGGGGGCGACTTATGTTCCTCCACGAGGAATAACAGGCGTAAATAAGTAAATATTTATTTATTACCTTTCATAAATATAAAATATATGCAATCTCAACAACAAAATATATTACTACCATATCCGTGACTAGAATACAGATCATTCATTATTATAAAGAAACAAAACTCACTAAGGACTTATTTGAGTAAAGAATTATCTTTTCTAATATATATTCAGTACTTATCACTCAATAATTTAAATAACATTTCAATCGTTAATGTTAATCAGAATTTAATTAAGAATAAACTACACTTGTATAAATTATGATGAGGTTATATTAATAAAAATTACGTATGGGAATGATCTTAAACATTCAATGAACACATTTCATTTTGTAATCTATGAAAATAAACTATTGTTTGTTGAAGTTAGACATTAACACCGTTGGATGCCGGCTCAGTGGTCTAATGGTTAAGTGCTCGCGCGCGAAACCAGTAGGTCCTGGGTTCAAGCCCCGCGTGGTGCGGGATCGTGGATGCGCACTACTAAGGAGTCCCATACTAGGACGAAACGGCCGTCCAGTGCTTCCAGGTTTTCAATGGTGGTCTAGCTTCAACTGACTCATGATTTCAATCTGTGAAAATATTGTTTGTTTGACAAATATCGGTTATCCAGAAAATATAACATCTTTTATCAGAATATAATATGATCGGTAATTGTTGATATCCAGTAATAAACTGTGACTATAAATGTATAGTGACTTACGAATCACTTCATCAAGTGTTTCTATTCTACTGTGAATTTGTCAGTTGGAGATATTTGGACCCTAGTTTTGATAATCGTAAGGAAAGTTGAGCCTGGAACTCATTGTTTCAGATTCTTGAATATTAATAAAGGGGTTAAATGCCGCAGTGAATGATAAATATTTAAAACATTTTTAACGTTCTAAATAACTAGGACATTTCCTGAAGATAATTGTGGATGTGAAAGAACAGAATCTTGAACTCATTTTCAACCGTAAATTGAATTATTCGGTTAGAAACAAATAAATATCATCAGGTGGTGTCGTTCTTGACTGAGAACAAACTCCCCATCCATCAAGCCAACTTCAAATTATTTATTCACAACTGTAGATCTCTTCAAGAGGTATTATTGAAATGTATTAAAACAAAGTCAGTGCGAAATCACTAAATTTAATCAAAAACTCCATATGCTGATAAAGACTAATCTATTAGCTTCGACCGATCAGAAACGAGAATCAGATTACAAGAGGAAATTTTTCTTGATCAACAAGTAACAGAGGCTCCATTCAAACTGTCACTCTAAAATGAAATCACCGTACTCTACTTAATCATTGTAAATAAAGCCGTGTTTGTGTGCACATTATGATTCAACATCTCTCACAAAAAAGTCAACCTTCCTAAAAACGTTTTTGAATATTGACAGTCCTTATAAATGATTTGCAGTAAAATATAAATCCACAAAATAAATAGCTTTATAAGTCTTCGACATTGATATTGACCTCAAAAGTTTTACTGGACACATTCCTGTCTGAAGGTGCTCAGTCAAGTATTCTTATCAAACCACGCTTAAGTACGTCCTGCTGTGAATCTTTTACGATAAATATTCAGCTTAAACTCTATATACTTCAACCATCTTTGCATCTCTTCATTCTCGACTTGTAGTTTTACTGGGTTTGGGGATTACTTTATAAGATGAAATTTTGGACGATAGTGTTGTTAAGCACTGTATACAATTAAATCTTCATTGGTGCGCCCGATGTGGTCTGGTATATAAAACAATATACCATGAGTTTCTTCACAGTCATAACCTTTTATATATTATGGCATTTTTTGTCCTTAAACTTTCTTTCTACATATTCATATATTTTGTTTTTACTATGTTTAAACACACCTAAACTTATAAGAGTTAAGACTCCCTTGCCTCCCAATATCGAATTAAGGTACGGTTCGACAACAGAGATGCTGTTATGAATACGAGATATCACTGATCAGTGAACTTTCGATGAAGGTCTCTGAAGAAGTCTTTTTCTACGTAATCTTCTTTAACAGGTCCAGGCGGTTCTGCTTTTCTTTCAAAATGACGCCGCTGATGAACTGTCCTCATCTGCCGACCAACTTTTGGAGATCAGCGAAATCCCCAGCGTCGAGGTTTGTTCTGTCAAGGATAAATGCCTTTATCCGTGTCCTGAAACTTCAAAATGAACCCAGACGGTCTAGTGCTCTTCAAAAAAGCCCATCGTACAAACGGTCTTTTTCTAGACTGTAAGAGAGAGATAACCTTGATCGGTATTGGTACCATGACACCTATGGTTAGCTTTCCAGAAATTGTAGAAAACCTTCCCAAAACAAACATTTTGGGAAACTCCCTCTCTGATACTCATTAATGGTAACCATAGACAGTGAATATTAGCTGTCTGTTATACATCACCGATATGTTGAGGAAGTTTCTCTATCTTGTTGACATTGGCTCAAAGATTAACGTTCCGCCCACGAAATCTAACGACCATCTACAGTACCATGTTTTCAATCCACGTTTGACAAACAGAAAACCAATCAACATTTACGGCAGAATGTATGTTTACCTTAACGTGTATTTACGCAGACCAATGCCCTAGATCTTTGTTTTTGCAGACGTATCAGTACCAATCAATAATATTCGTATGCTACAACACCACAACCTACTCATCGATCCAAGTAAACAGAGTTTAGTGGACCGAAACAATAAATTATGGGTTTATGGAGCTTCATTTTTCGGTTGTTGGTCATGTCCTATCTAAATGAAACATTTAATCGGCTCGTACTTCCTACTTAATCATTAATCGATTCTATATTTAATTCTGACAGGAAATAACCTACAATTCTTCTCATACAATGATTCTGAAAACCTGTGATACCATAAGTCCAGAATGAAGGAATACGGAGATATATTTAGGCAATGATCGATGTTTATAGAGTTTAAGCTGAATATTTATCGTAAAAGATTCACAGCAGGACGTACTTAAGCGTGGTTTGATAAGAATACTTGACTGAGCACCTTCAGACAGGAATGTGTCCAGTAAAACTTTTGAGGTCAATATCAATGTCGAAGACTTATAAAGCTATTTATTTTGTGGATTTATATAATACTACAGATCTATGAACTAAAATCTTTTTATACAGCTCATGGTTATTTTTAAGTTTGTAAATGAAATGTTTTGGTAATATAGGAATTTAGATATCTGGTGAATAATAGTTAATTATTATTCAATATAATAGATTCTTAATCCTCATATAAAGAGTCGGTTATTATGATCAATATTCCTAATGAGACATAGTATCTCTAAGGCTCCAAAACTCTGTATAAGATAGTAAAAGCACTTTTGAAGCATGTTCCTATATATATTTATATATATATATATATACTTTATTAATAATGTTCCAGTGGCCTCTATACAATACACTATTTTTTTATACTAGGACTGTGTGAACGATTAATTGAAGTGGTCAGTTATTTACGTGATGCTTTACAATGAAATGACGACCCACACTGTGACCCCCCTAGTTGGAGTACTGGAAACCCTACAAATCCGTGGCTCAAAATGTTATTAAACATGATTCAGAACAGAAGCTAATGGCATTGTTATTGTAGTTCTTTTATTAAATTCCTCATAAATGTAAGATATATATTCTTAATAGTATGAAATCTCATTTAATTGTTTTTCATTTATTTATTTAGTTATTTTTTACATAAACGTCTCTCACACCTCTTGATTTTTCCATAATCTCACTATGTCTAGTGTATTTCTTGGTGGCATACTGCATAAAGTTTCGTGTTCCAAATAAAAAAGTCCCAATGACGCCATAATTTCAAAGTAACTATATAATCCAAAAGGTGACTAGTAGTATTTAGATAAGTTTAAAAGTTCTCAAATGTGAAGCAGTTCACAAGACTTAAGCATGTGAGAAGACAGTTTTTCATATCATTTGTATATATATTAATCATTAGAATATAGCCCCATTTACTAGAATCAAAATGAGGTTCTCTTAACCATAAATATCGTTTTAGAACTGTGTTACTAATAAGTAGTTTTAAGATATTTACACATTTTTAAAATACAATAAATCCATGGAAACCTAAAGACATTAAGCAGTGTACTTCTCACAGAATTGAGTTTACCATCCCTTTCTCAAGTTTCTTTTTGATCGTAACAACTTCCAGCTTCTAATTTAGATCATAGTAGTTTGCACTTTTCAACTAGTGATATTTCAAACTACTGGTAGTATCTAAGACATCTGAGTAACAAAGTGTTCTCACTACATGAAGAAGAACGAAATATTCAATAAATCAGTCACAAATGAATAGCTTTATACTATTTGAGTACAAAAGACTGGGTGTTTATGTTTTCACTATTTCTGTGGCTTACTAAGATATACTATTTTAAAATATTAAATCCTTTTTCGTTAATCCTTTTATTTTTACTTCAGATTTTAACATGGTATTCTTCGTATAATCGGTCACATGATGGCTGAGTGGTCAAAGTTCAAATTAACAATGTCATAAAATCTGACCTGATATATGGTGGATATCATATGAAGATAGATGCAGTATACTTAGTTTTA